TTGATTTGTTAGGTAAAAACTGAATTTTTAAGATTGTGTTTAATTTTATTCCCTTACACTTACGAATATTCCCCGTAGAACGTGCCCTTCTCCTAATGCCCCATCTGCGTCTGAGATTCGCGCTGCTGCTGCTTTCCTCAAGTGCCAAAGTCAAATCGTGCACAAGGGCCTCCATTTTTACTCTTAAATCCGCCGGTACAGCTTTGAAAACACGCTCCATTTGAAGGATGCGTTTTTTACTGGAAAATAAATTATATTGATTATTTATATATCCTATTTAATGAGTATACATATTTACACTCCTTTTATGTTTTATTATATAGTTTATAATCTCGTTTATTAACATCCATATTATTAGCTCCCATAGTCTTCATTATATCTAATTTTAATATACAATATGTACATTTTTCAATGAAGTAATATATATATATATTGGTTCAACTTTGTATGACATTTTTTCGAATGTTATTCACATTTTTATATCAAAGTTTCTATGGCATCGATTTTTGCCAGACCAGAGTTACGATTAATTCGCGATCCATTTTTAGAGAAACTCCTCGATCGCAGATCGTGATGTCCGTAGTAGAAAGGCACACATAGGGCGACCCCGAAAAGGATGAGTTTATCGAAACATCTATGATACGTGTCGTCAATCGTCGAAGAGGGGGTCAAAATAAATCGCGGTTGCGTCGGCTTTTAACTTTCGTGTGTGACAATACGTAACATCCTGCTGCTCACCTCTTACAAGTAATGTCCATGAGAGCCTCGCCTCAAAAATGTCTCATTGTTAAACTCGGTCTACTTGTCGACCGACAATGAAATGAACAAAAGATCGCGCAGCGTCTCGAACGTCAGATCTGTCAAGACTATCAATTGTCAAACTATCTTCTCTCCGTATGTTTAATCGCACACCGTAGCGAATCGCATCTACAAAAGTAGACAAAAGTATACCTACACATATATTTATGTGTGCATGTGTTGTGTATGTGTGTACAAACGGTACACATTTATTTATGCATGATGCGTGCGATGGTGCAACGCATCGGTTGTTTCATGAGAATGCGTCCTGAAGAATTCTGAAATAATACGTCATCGCGATGCATCGCTATTTATCCTTTGTATCGCTCTTGTCTTTTTCATACCATTCTATTATGTGCAAATGCACATAAGAAAATAGCATATGAACGTGTAATTTCAATCTTTGTTACAAACGCTAGTTCCAAACGACTTCCCATATTATGTTATCGGCCGCGTTCCAAAAATCACTAAAAAAAAGGAGCATTCATGCGCGTGCAGCTGCAGGTCCGATCGACGGTGGCGCTTAGAACGCGGCATGCGCATATCTCCACGGCCATTTCCAGTACTTCGTCGCGCGGACAGACGCTCCGTGAATGTTGCGTGGCTTCCGAGGCCGATTTTTCGTTCGAGATCCGCGTGTGTGAGCGTGACGCTCGGACGGCGTGATCGGTGTCATCGTGCGTGAAGGTGCGGGCGTAGGCGGACGTAATGCACGACCGTTTGTGGACGCGTCGCGCGACAAGCCCAGCGACGATCACGGAATTGTGTAAATAGCGCGTAGTGGTCATTTGCGCACGTCCGGTGCGCATCCGCGGGCCAGATGAGCGCGGGATCACGGCGGGCCGACGCGAGGAGACTGTAGCGTGTGGGTGAAGGAGGGGAGGAGAGAGAGAGAGAGAGAGAGAGAGAGAGAAAAAGAGGGAGAAGAGATTAATATATAAAATTTATGAATCTATATATTTTTTAAATCAAATTAAAGAGAGATGTGAAAATCAGTTTTACATTACAGTTATTTTATAAAATAACAAAATGATATAATTAATTATCTAAATATTGCATTTACTGAAAAAAAAGCTAAAACATTTCTATAGAATAGTGTATGTACAATCAATATGCGAGATACATTTTTCTCATTTACTCTTTAATTTGATGCATAACAAAGGACAGTATTACCTGGCGCATAATCCACAAATCGCTCCGACCGATACGAGCCATTTAGCCCAATCCCAACCTATTGTTTTGAACATATGTGGGAACGGTGCTTCGGGATTTTGCTCGTAGTACGGTAACACGGTGGTGAGTACCACCGAGACGCCAAAGTATGCCAGGAAGACGATTGTCAGAGATGCGACAATCGCTATAGGGATGGATCGTTGCGGATACTTGGCCTCTTCCCCCGTAGTGGCCACACAATCGAAACCGATGAATCCGTAAAAGCACGTGGCTGCGCCACTTATGATGCCCGATATGCCGTAAGGTGCGAATCCACCGGTTCCGAATTTGCAGTCCGTCTCGGTGCATTTGGGCTCCGTTTTCCAATTGCTAATATTAGCTATAAATTATTGCGAATTTTATACATCTTTATCTATCATTATATATATCTTAACTTATGAGTTTGTATATGTATAACAATTTTTTCAACCGTTTTATGTTTATAATATATTATAAGTATATTAGTATTAGAGTATATTAGCATTTTATTATTTTATTAACATTATTAATTAATAATATGTAGTTGTTCGCGTGTTAAGCTACAAATTATTATTGAAAAATATCCTAAGCTTTGTGTAGAGTGATCTATATAGGTAATACGTAATTAGTGTTCTATTTATTATTATTAGCTCAGTAATTTTTTTTCGAGAGATATACAGAGAAGAGATAAATTTAAAAGAGCGCTTACCTTTAAAAGAACCGGCGATTATGACGAAAAGTACGACAGAGAGATTCACTAGCGTGAAAAAGTTGTTTGCCAGCGAAGATTCCTTGGCTCCAAAAGCAAGCGCAACTACAAAAGAAATGCAAATTGCTTCAGCCGTTTTTATTATTGCTATGCAATTACATAACAAACTGGCGAATTAATAATAGAACTTGTTGAGAGATACGCATTTGTATTAAGGGGGGACCTTAGGGTTATTACGCTGATAAAACATACATTTAATTGGGTCAATTGGAGATTTAAGAGTATTTTCTTATCACCTGAGAATAGCAGGGTAATGCCGAACGCAAAGAAGTCTGGATACGACGACAGATGATCGATATCGATATGCGCCGCCGACTCGAAGGCATTCCTCATGCTATTGTTGAAAAGCGCGTCGACATACGTGCTGAGACCGCGTACCACGCTAGCCGAACCGATGACGTACTCCAGAATCAACGTCCAGCCGATAAGAAATGCTATAAATTCACCCATTGTGACATAGCTGTAAACGTACGCGGATCCGGCACGCGGCACTCGTGCTCCGAATTCGGCATAACAGAGTCCTGGGAAGAGAAAAAAAACGAGTGCAACACACTTATTGTTAAATAGTGAACACACTGCAAAAGTATACATACATGTGTCAGCTCTATTTGTTTTAAAAATAAATCCAATTTTTTGTGAACCAATATTAAAAGCCAATATACGGGCATCATTTCGAATCAAGTAAATTTCCTTTCTCTATCTTTATTATACGTGATTTATAATGTTAACTATAATTTAATCGTAATATATTTGATCGATAAGAAAATTTTCTTTTATCGTATTTGTAAAAAAATATAGTTGAAAATAAAATTACAATTGGTATTAGTAATTATTAGCAACTAGTTTCAAAGTAATTTTTCTTAATCAGAATATTATGTTACTATTTTTTCAGCATTTTATCATATTTCTCTAGAAAAATATATTCATCTAGAAAAAAACTTTTACAAAAAATCGAACTTTATATAAGCTTCATGTAAAACAAAATTTATGCATTAATTTTGCACTAAAAAATGTAATATAATCCGAATTGTATTTAGTTTAATGAAACAGTTCAAGCTCTATTTGATCTCTAAGCTGATATTTTTTGATAATATATTTAATAAAAATTAAATGGACACTTTCTTTGAAAATAAACTTATGTCAAATTGTATAATAAAACTTTTATAAAAATAGTATGTATATACGATATAATTATTTGTCGTTTACACGAAATGATTAAATGTCAAGCTTATCTTGAGATTATCAATTATTTCGTCAAATGGGGGGGGGGGATATCTCTTTTTCCAAGAACCCTTAAACTAGATGTGTTAATAAATTTATCTCTGTTGTGCAAAGCGAAATGCTAGGCTACTTTTCTGGTATCATTTTCTGCAAAGATTGCATCATTTAAGCGCCAGAACTGAGATTTGCTTATACAGAAACGGGCGTGAACATAAGACCGGAATGGATACGTTCATTATTTAATCTCGTATACCTCTTTTCTGCGAGATATACTTTCCCTTATCAAATTGCCTAAGAAATAAACGAAGAAATATTATACTGAAATAATTGGATGATTTGTAATAGAAGGGGAAAAAATCGATAAAGTTAGTCGAATAGACTCCTTATCACCGTATCGAGACGATATAAAAGTGCCTACCTGCGAACATCGATGCTATCGCGGCGATGGCGAATGAAATGACCACGGCAGGACCAGCGGTGGATCTTGCGACAGTTCCTGCCAGGACATACACACCTACTCCCAGAGTAGAGCCAATTCCTAAGGCTGTGAGATCGAGAGTCGACAAAACTCTTGCCAGTTTAGAGTCTTGAGTAATGTCCACCACCTTTTTACGGCTAAACACCTTATACACATCACGGAGTTTCCACTTCATGTTGTACAACTGAAAAAGAATGTACGTGTGCAATTAGTAATTTAAACAGACATTTAAACAGGAATTTTATAATATTTTCGATGAAATTAAAGAAAATATTAAAATTGACATTATTCACTCTCATTGTAATAATATATATAGCCGCATTTAAAAATAATCGTCTTGTAAAAATAACTGCGCTTATTTAATAAAACATAAAAGTTACTTCCACGAAAATCCACGAAGATGTGACAGTTAATAAGTAGAAAAATCCTCCTTATATTCTTATAATTTATTTATATTATTCTAGAGAGATACGTTCTCTCTCTTTCTCGCTTCGAGAGTCGATATTTCTGTGAATGCAATTTGTAATAGGCGTGATAATTTGCGGTAATTGCGTAATTGACGACTTACCATGAAGAATTTTGTTAAAGCACAATCCATTTTTCTGCAAGGAAAATGTGAGAACGTTCACAAAACGAATTCTGAAACTATCCGTCGAACAGTTCGCGCGCGACTAAAGATGCTTAATTAAAGAACCTATATATATATATCACGTGGCGACGTGCCGCACGTCGGCGCCTGCTCAATTGGTCGAATTGTCTCGCTACAGTATAGAACGGTAGCACATATCTACAAGTAAAGCAACTGCCTATATTTGTTGTGAATAAACATCAACGCGAATATACACGAACATCTCTTTCTTCACTTTACTTAAATATTTCCAAAAATCGAATTAAACGCTCCCTAATCTCGATTGGATACATCTGAATGATTAATATTACATATCAGTAATATTACATCAATATTAGATTTCGTTTAGATAATATTGGATTTTTAAGCATTTCGATCTGTTAAAAATTTGGTCGCTTAATTGTTAGATGTAAAATTAAAGAAAATCTGATATCGAGAACGAAATTTTATCGACAAATGTTTCTCATTATTTTTTCATTGTCTGACATTGAAAATGATAACTACTATCTTAAAAGAATTTGTATTAAGTCGTGAGTGCGATGCGTTATATAAATATCAGATTATTGTGAATAAGCATTAACGCAAAGATAAGGACAGATATATATCTGTCATGCAGTTAACATGCGCTAGACATACTTTATCCTGAATTTACTAATACATTCATTTTTTTTATGTATCTTTACGCGCATATAAAGTTTGTATTGTTGCACGCATAATAATACAAGTCTTTTGATTTTAAAAAGTTTATATAATATAGAAAAACCTTTTTGTCACACAAAAGTCTTTTTTCTTAAACTCATTTTAGGCGATCTACAATTCACGGTAAAATAGAAGACATAAATTAATTTTTTATTTTATAGGCCGTATATTGTAATGTATATATATGTACATTACAATATATATATATACTTTTTTTTCTATACTACTTCTTCAAATATGTATTTTTTGTATCATAAAGTTACAACAGCAAATTCTATTCTAAATGATAGATCGTCTAAATAAGCTTAATATGAGATAACGCGGTAATGTGTACTTACTTGATCGGATCAATGTGACTCTCTCAACTGTACGCGAAACCGCTTCGCTGCAATTACTGCAATCGCACCTGAACATCATTCTCAATTATACTGAGAATATATGTGACGTGACGATCTTGAAATTGTTTTGACGATTGTAATAACTACTCTCTTTATTTTGCTTATCTTTCCAGATACCGATTATCCCCTACATGATACGATCGATCATAAAGAAGACACGTTGATATGCGTTCCTTTGGTTCAGTCATAGATGTATAATATACTATGTCTATGGACTCACAATCAGTCTCCCCAATTCGTGTATATATCTCGCTTATGAGTTTCGCTAGATTGTAAAAACAAATGATTACCCGAATTAGTAATAGTGAATACAATTTCAATATCAGTATATTCAGTTATTTCTAAATTTTTATTTCTAGAAGATTAAATACTTAGTTGTTAGTTATAAATATAATTTTATTGAAAAATGGACGGATCCTGTATTATGTATATATAACAAATATTTGTTAAAAAATGTATGCATTTTTTTACATATATATATAGATATACCTAGTATATATTATATAACAAATGGAACATATTGTTCCAAGTGGACGGATTATGTTTTATAATACGGTTAAGAACACATAGTGATTTAAACTTGATAAACATTTGTGGAATAATTAACCACTATAAAGCCTTTACGTTTGCGTGAGTGACTTACATGAATCTAAATACTTATAAAACTATTATTACAAAATACAATATTCTGAGACAAGGCTGTACATTATAAAAAAACCATATTTTTGAAACATAATGCATTCGAACATATTAGAAAAATATAATACTATCTTGTAATCTTGTATGTAATATTCATTAATTATCGTTGTAAAAAAAAGATATTATATATTCAGTCTGCAGTGCTGAGATTAATTGTTTGTCAGCTGACTAAAACGTCAACCCTAATCATTTCTGCAGGAGCATTGTCATTAAAACCTTGATACACCCAACATCGAAATCAGAGTTGTTATAGCAAATATTCCATAATGTAGCTTTGTTTTGTTTCCACCAGACTAAAATAAATATGAAGCATATGTAATTATATTCTATATTGTTTCAAATCACTATAATCACAGAAGAACTATACTTACAATAACATAATAGTTACATCTGTCACCTTGACAGCAAGAAGAACACTGCCAATCCTGATACCAGAGGTGGATACAATCGGGCATGGTGCTTCGCTGCAATCTCTCGCATTCCTTTTTAGTGGCGCATCTTTTAGATACATAAAACTGTTTTTTGGCACCCTGAGTCCAATACGGTGGACCTATAACCATCAAACTTGTGATATTACATTATTATATATATCAATATTATTAGAAAAAATTCAATATCATACATGTTGTATCACATATTATACTCAAAGATAATTTTTTAACTTGGCTATTCTTTTGATTGAAAACTTAAATACTCATATTGCTATTGTTGTTCTTCACATTGTTATTTAAGATATCAATATCAACACTTCTATTAATTAAATACTTATTTATCGACTTCATTAAAAGATGATTGAACAATATTTGTCAAAAGTAATCAATAGTAATTGCTTTAAATTAAAAAACACAGATAAAGAACATTGTTTGAACGACACCGCACATAACCTCAAAAGAAGACTGCGCGTGTAAAGAATAAAAAATGGACTTACTGCCCCATTTGATCTCCGCAAGGCAGGAATCCTGTCCCTGTTCACAAGTTTTAATAGTATTGAGACACTTATCCCGATTACCCTCCTGATCCGTGCAAACGTAACATTCCAGGGCGTGGCCTGTGATAAAAATATCATAGAGAATAATAAAGAGGGTGAAAAGGGAGAGAAAATGGAGTGATCGAGATTTTATCACTTACCGAACGACACGCACGAGATAACGAGTAGCGCGAAATGCCATTTCATGAAATTCGGCATTTCGGAGATCGAGAGATAGCGCGATTTATGTACTGCGGGACAACGAGTGAGCCACGATCCGCCAACTTTGAACACAGCTGACAGATCTTCGAATCAGTGACGTATCATCGCAGAGGAGCATAAAGGGTGCGGTCCACTTAACGATCGCAACGCTCACGGTATCATTTTATCTTTGTTGTTCACCGAAAGTTAAACAAAGACAGATGATGCTCGCGAGCATTGCGGTCGTTAAGTGGAACGCGCCCAAAGAGACCTATGAGCTTCAGGATTTTTACTGGGAACATGCAATTTAAAGATATTCGCTTTCATTTCGTGTAATATTTTAATAATTATTAAAAAATACTTATATATA